AAAGGAGCTCCACAACAGAGACCCATCCCACTGTTCGACCACAGGTAAGTGGGAAAGCGGGATACCGGGAGGAAGCACAGGCAGGAATGTCTGTGAGGGGAGGGCTCCTGCCTCATACTGTGGATGAGGGGCGATCAACAGGTTATCTCAAGTGCTTATATACAAATGCACAAAGCCTTGGAAACAAGCAGGGAGAACTGGAGGTCCTGGTGATGTCAAGGAACTATGACGTGATTGGAATAACAGAGACTTGGTGGGATAACTCACATGACTGGAGTACTGTCATGGATGGTTATAAACTGTTCAGGAAGGACAGGCAGGGCAGAAAAGGTGGGGGAGTAGCACTGTATGTAAGGGAGCAGTATGACTGCTCAGAGCTCCGGTACGAAACTGCAGAAAAACCTGAGTGTCTCTGGATTAAGTTTAGAAGTGTGTGCAACAAGAGTGATGTAGTGGTGGGAGTCTGCTATAGACCACCGGACCAGGGGGATGAGGTAGATGAGGCTTTCTTCCGGCAGCTCACGGAAGCTACTGGATCGCATGCCCTGATTCTCATGGGTGACTTTAATTTTCCTGATATCTGCTGGGAGAGCAATACAGCGGTGCATAGACAATCCAGGAAGTTTTTGGAAAGCGTAGGGGACAATTTCCTGGCGCAAGTGCTCGAGGAGCCAACTAGGGGGGGCGCTTTTCTTGACCTGCTGCTCACAAACCGGGTAGAATTAGTGGGGGAAGCAAAAGTGGATGGGAATCTGGGGGGCAGTGACCATGAGTTGGTTGAGTTCAGGATCCTGACACAGGGAAGAAAGGTAAGCAGCACGATACGGACGCTGGACTTCAGGAAAGCAGACTTTGACTCCCTCAGGGAACGGATGGCCAGGATCCCCTGGGGGACTAACTTGAAGGGGAAAGGAGTCCAGGAGAGCTGGCTGTATTTCAAGGAATCCCTGTTGAGGTTACAGGGACAAACCATCCCGATGAGTCGAAAGAATAGTAAATATGGCAGGCGACCAGCTTGGCTTAATGGTGAAATCTTAGCGGATCTTAAACATAAAAAAGAAGCTTACAAGAAGTGGAAGGTTGGACATATGACCAGGGAAGAGTATAAAAATATTGCTAGGGCATGTAGGAATGTTATCAGGAGGGCCAAATCGCACCTGGAGCTGCAGCTAGCCAGAGATGTCAAGAGTAACAAGAAAGGTTTCTTCAGGTATGTTGGCAACAAGAAGAAAGCCAAGGAATGTGTGGGCCCCTTACTGAATGAGGGAGGCAAACTAGTGACAGAGGATGTGGAAAAAGCTAATGTACTCAATGCTTTTTTTGCCTCTGTTTTCACTAACAAGGTCAGCTCCCAGACTGCTACGCTGGGCATCACAAAATGGGGAAGAGATGGCCAGCCCTCTGTGGAGATAGAGGTGGTTAGGGACTTTTTAGAAAAGCTGGACGTGCACAAGTCCATGGGGCCGGACGAGTTGCATCCGAGAGTGCTGAAGGAACTGGCGGCTGTGATTGCAGAGCCATTGGCCATTATCTTTGAAAACTCGTGGCGAACCGGGGAAGTCCCGGATGACTGGAAAAAGGCTAATGTAGTGCCAATCTTTAAAAAAAGGGAAGAAGGAGGATCCTGGGAACTACAGGCCAGTCAGCCTCACTTCAGTCCCTGGAAAAATCATGGAGCAGGTCCTCAAAGAATCAATCCTGAAGCACTTGCATGAGAGGAAAGTGATCAGGAACAGCCAGCATGGATTCACCAAGGGAAGGTCATGCCTGACTAATCTAATCGCCTTCTATGATGAGATTACTGGTTCTGTGGATGAAGGGAAAGCAGTGGATGTATTGTTTCTTGACTTTAGCAAAGCTTTTGACACGGTCTCCCACAGTATTCTTGTCAGCAAGTTAAGGAAGTATGGGCTGGATGAATGCACTACAAGGTGGGTAGAAAGCTGGCTAGATTGTCGGGCTCAACGGGTAGTGATCAATGGCTCCATGTCTAGTTGGCAGCCGGTATCAAGTGGTGTGCCCCAAGGGTCGGTCCTGGGGCCGGTTTTGTTCAATATCTTCATAAATGATCTGGAGGATGGTGTGGATTGCACTCTCAGCAAATTTGCGGATGATACTAAACTGGGAGGAGTGGTAGATACGCTGGAGGGGAGGGATAGGATACAGAAGGACCTAGACAAATTGGAGGATTGGGCCAAAAGAAATCTGATGAGGTTCAATAAGGATAAGTGCAGGGTCCTGCACTTAGGACGGAAGAACCCAATGCACAGCTACAGACTAGGGACCGAATGGCTAGGCAGCAGTTCTGCGGAAAAGGACCTAGGGGTGACAGTGGACGAGAAGCTGGATATGAGTCAGCAGTGTGCCCTTGTTGCCAAGAAGGCCAATGGCATTTTGGGATGTATAAGTAGGGGCATAGCGAGCAGATCGAGGGACGTGATCGTTCCCCTCTATTCGACATTGGTGAGGCCTCATCTGGAGTACTGTGTCCAGTTTTGGGCCCCACACTTCAAGAAGGATGTGGATAAATTGGAGAGAGTCCAGCGAAGGGCAACAAAAATGATTAGGGGTCTGGAACACATGACTTATGAGGAGAGGCTGAGGGAGCTGGGATTGTTTAGCCTGCAGAAGAGAAGAATGAGGGGGGATTTGATAGCTGTTTTCAACTACCTGAAAGGGGGTTCCAAAGAGGATGGCTCTAGACTGTTCTCAATGGTATCAGATGACAGAACGAGGAGTAATGGTCTCAAGTTACAGTGGGGGAGGTTTAGATTGGATATTAGGAAAAACTTTTTCACTATGAGGGTGGTGAAACACTGGAATGCGTTACCTAGGGAGGTGGTAGAATCTCCTTCCTTAGAGGTTTTTAAGGTCAGGCTTGACAAAGCCCTGGCTGGGATGATTTAACTGGGAATTGGTCCTGCTTTGAGCAGGGGGTTGGACTAGATGACCTTCTGGGGTCCCTTCCAACCCTTATATTCTATGATTCTATGATTCTAAAGGATGAAATGGCCCAGAACCAGCTATGTGCTTTTGGAGTATGTGGCTGAAATTCTGCCCAAGTATATCCAGCAAGACCAGGTGACCTGTTCCAATGAATTGGAGATATTTATCCCTCCTGATGGGGTTGTTCCAATTCTGACTTTTCTTCACGATCACACCAATGCCCAATTTAAATCCCTGGCTGATTTGACTGCTATTGATGTCCCAATCTGACAATATTGTTTTAAGATTGTTTATAATCTCCTGTCTCTGCGCTTCAATTCTCAGATCAGTGTGAAGACGTACACAGATGAGCCGACTCCTGCTGATTCGGCAGTGTCAGTGCACCAGGCAGCAAACTGGTATGAAAGAAAGAGAGGTTTGGGACATGTATGGAGTCTTCTTTGCCAACCACCCTGACCTGAGGCGAATCCTAACAGACTACAGGTTTCAGGGCCACCCATTTCGGAAGGACTTTCCACCCTCCTGATATGTAGAGGTATGGTACGATGATGAGGTGAAACGGGTGGTGGCAGAGCCTGTGGAGCTGGTTCAGGAGTTCTGCAAATTCGATCTGAATAGTCCCTGGGAGACATTTCCTGCCTATCGCACAGCTCCAGAGACCCTGAAACTAGAAGCAGGAGACAAGAAAGGAGATGCAAAATAGCAGCAGGACCGAGAGGATACTGGGAACTTCCTCTGTGGCACTGACCCTCCTGTTCTACCTTAATATTTATATGAATAAAACCTGACTTGAGGGAAAAAAAACCAAACAAACAAAAACACAGTTGCCTGACACTACCAGGCCAGCACTGCTCCTGGAGCAAGTATGCCACATTAGAGGACGCCACAGGAAGCATGCAATGAAAAAGCAAATTGTGGCGTTCTATGTTCAGGAAACTTTCCTTGCTTCTATTGCTCTGCTTCATTCCTCTCTGAAACCCCCCCGATTGGTAAATTCTGTATTATCTAATGTCACCTCCTTTTTATTTTCCCCATGCTCTTCTCTTATTGGGTTCCTTCTTATCCATGGCTGTGTAATACTGGCTGTCAATAATGGCAGAATTGGGTGGCTTGGTGTTGCACCGTGAACTATCATTGCTACATACAGTAGAAATATACTGATATCACCAGCACAGTGTGTGTGGCTAGTACAAACACTTACACTGCTCCTGTAATTTGCCAACAACACAATCTATGGGCACAGAAAATCAATGCGTTTCACTGGCTTAGTTTATTTAAATAGATTATGCTGATATTTTAGGAATATCTATTTTTAAAACAAGTTGTTCACCCTTCTGATTGCAACTAGCAGTGTTCACACTTTATAGATCAACGAGTTAGTGTCTTATTTGCTCTGCAATCAGACAACAATAAAGCACAAACAAAGGTGTGAACTTCTCTTTACATTAATGGAGAGATAATTTCAAAAGGAGTAGGGCTGATCATTCATACGTTTAACCATTATTCTGTCCAAACCCAAAACCCATAGCTCAAGCTGCAGAAATAAAATTATGCTATAAAATATTTCATACTGTCAACCTACAATGCAATGTGAAATATTTAAGTGCACTAGATTGCATCTTTAACTCATAAATTGGACAATATATAAATTTTTAGCTATAAATAGGAATTACTTATGGAACTAGAATTCTCAAATAACAAATGTAAATGTTTTCTTATTTACCTTCCTCACAGATATGCTTGCAAAACTTGTTCCAAAGAAGATCTTTATAAGGAAGGAGGTGTTAAGTTAATTTTTGGCATATTCAGTAGGTTTCCTTTCAGCCTGCCCACCATCTCTGTGACAATCCAATATTCTGACAGCCTTAAAGTATTTAAATATGATTTTAGATGATATAATTATCCAGTTTTTACTATAATTTCAATCTTTCTACTTTGCTTCCTCCATCAAACTCTGGAGGAAAAAGAGACCTCAATTTATTTAACATAAATTAGCTTTATTATTCACATTACTCTTTGCTGACCTTTTTAAAACAAAAGTCAAATTAATATGGTCAATTTCTAAAACGTTTTATTTGGTCTTTTCTGTAATTCAGTTTATAAAACTGCAATATACAAAAATTCATCAGAAGTAAAAACTAAATGTAAAACAAAGCAAGACCTTGTTCGATACATTTTCCCAGAAAGCTTTACCTACAGGCTCAGGAGCAGCAAACACTCAGCATATTTAAAAATGGGATTTGGAATAAAATTGCACACTGAAGAATTATGAAGCAAATGGACTGTTTTTGACTTCTTCATAAGAACAGTTTATGGTTTAGTTAAAATATCCAGTGACTATTTTAAATATCCTTTTATAGAATAAAATCAATTTTGGGTCAGTCATCTTCAGAGAAGCGGATGTGTTTACTTGTCTCTTGTGTCTTTGCAAGTCTCATTCTTTCAGCTTTGGCAATCAGCTACAAAAAAACAAAAACAAAAACCATAACATTTAAGTAAAGGTGAAAGAAAAATTGCATTCAGATTACAGGTTTATATCAAAGTCATAATCATGCTAGCAGGTCTCACAGAAGATAACTAATCTTTGAACAGTTGAACCAACATGCACAGAGCATAGTTCTCTGATAGTTGCATCCAATGAAATGAGCTGTAGCTCATGAAAGCTTATGCTCAAATAAATTTGTTAGTCTCTAAGGTGCCACAAGTACTCCTTTTCTTTTTGCAAAAATGAAGAGGCTCCTGATATTATTTTGCTCAGTAGCATCACAAAGTACACAAATAGCACAAAGTTTTCCCTTAATCTCTGGACAGATTAGTGTCTTTAACATTCCTTCAACATTCCATCCCAGTGTCCCATCAAAAGTGGGGGAAGGGAGAGAGGGAGGAAAGACCTCAAACACGACCTTCATAGCCATTTTTAAATGGACTAGTTCTTTGAGGCTTCAAACTCTTACTTACTTAACTATAGCAGGATCAAACCTTAAAGAAATAAATTTGTCAGGAATGCTATGTCATTTTCTAGAGTCAGTTTCTGGAGAGACAAAAGACTGAAATGCAGAAGGAGGCCCATCCTCTAGATTGAGATAACTACTCATCTGAATGTAAACAGTACTGGCCACAGGAATGAGCTTGGGCAGAAGAATCCTGAGTTCAAATGCCAGCTCTATCAATGACCTCTCTGTGTTTCAGTTTCCTTATCTGTAAAATGGAGATAGTACCCTGATAAGATAGGGGCTGAGGATTAGTTAATATTTGTAAGGTGTATGAAATTATAAATGAAAAGGAGTACTTGTGGCACCTTAGAGGCTAACAAATTTATTTGAGCATAAGCTTTCGTGAGCATCCGATGAAGTGAGCTGTAGCTCACGAGAGCTTATGCTCAAATAAATTTGTTAGTCTCCAAGGTGCCACAAGTCCTCCTTTTCTTTTGCGAATACAGACTAACACAGCTGCTATTCTGAAACCTGAAATTATAAATGTTAAATTGTGGTATTACTGACAATTTCTCTCAACCCTTCAATGTGACATGATTGTACATTTTAGAAATAAACCATTTATAGCTTTTAAAAACTGTGAATCAAACAAACCTCAAAATCCAAGGCTGCCCGTATAATTTTAAAAAGGATATTACATTATATATAGTATAATAAAAACCAAAACAAACAAAAAAAAAAACACACCCCAAACATTCCCAGGGAAGGAGTCCCATTTTAACTGGCATTAACAGAACCTGCCTAACAACTATTTGCATCATTGACCAAAGGGCCTTGCACCTTTCCCCTAACCTTGAGACTCTCTGTCATGGTAACTTATCTTACCACCTTTGCAGAGGGAGGACAGACAGCGCCATTGCTGGAGCTCTACCCTCACTGGTAGCTGAGCCACAGGAGTTGGTGCAGAGTAATGAATGTGAGGCAGTGGCTCCCCTACAGATTGAGCATGCTATATCCTCCGCACTCCCAGCCCTCGAGAGCCTAGCCAGGAAATCAACACCAAGTCTCTTGCACAGCAGCACACAGACCTCACCATGAAGACACTGGGACAACTTGGAATCTTAAAAATAAAATAAATAATAATAAATATTGGATATTGTTTTGCCACAGGGAACTCTCCCACTACAAAAGCAATTCTATCACCCACTGTCCAGCTGCTGACCAGAGGGCCCTCTTTCTTCTTCAACACAGGCTCAAAATATTATGCCAGTCCAAGAGAGGTCTTCAGTTTTTCAAACCACAATTAACATGTGAGCTGCAAATTTTCTTCCATTTCTACTCATATACTTTCAACCCCTCTCCCTTTATTCTTATCACAGCACACACTACATAACTCAAAAGCAAACTTCCCCTCACTCCTTGGAGATTAAGAACAATAGCTGGGAAAAGCTCTCAGTCCAAGGTAGTATGAAATGCAAAAATATTCATGTGTTACCCTTGTGGGAAGCAAACTGCACTACTAGTTAAGTTAACAACTTGCAGATTCAGCTTTTTTTGTCCCCATTCTGAAGAAATTAAATGGGACACCTAAAAGTCTGTTTATTTTAAACAAAAGTGAGAATTTCAGGAAATTTCTGCCATCACTGGATCCATGGTGACTCACATCTATGAAACTTTTTTTTTTTTCCCCTCAAGAAATGTACTTTTTAAAAAAAAAAAAAAGTAATCTTACATATATACACTGTACACATTTAGGGCCTTAATAAATCTGCAAAAGACAGATGACAAGTTCTGCTGAGATTCACCCCAAGACACAGAATCTTATCAATTATCTCAAATCACCAACTTTAAAAAACTGCAGTCTTGTCCACACAAACATGACATCTTGCTTGTGTTCTGGAGGATATTGAGTCAAAATTGATATATGCCATTTAGTATCCATACTGGGGCATGCACTGATTTAACTAAATCTGTGCAAGTCTGTATGTAGATAGGCCCTGTGTACTGCAACAGCAGAAGTATAAACTCACTCCATGGCACCCTCACTATCCTCCAGAACACAATCCAGATGTCATGTCATAGCAGATACGTAGGATGAACTATAGTAAAGGAAGCAGAGAAAATGCAAAGAAACAAGGAACAGACAAAAGTACCTCAATTTCTTTCAAGTCTAGGTAGCAAGTGTGTAAGAAGACAGAGGTTCTTGTGAATAAAACCCAGCCTATACTAGGGAAACTTGCACCACTTACGACACTGATGCAGTTATCCTAGCCTAACTCCCTAATGTAGATACACTGCACATATGTAGAGCAGGGCTTACACCAATGCAGCTAACTTTGGGGCACCACTGTAAAGCCTTTACCTATATTTAAAGTTGCACCTATATTGCTTATATGAATATAAAATTGTTAAACTAAACAATTGTGCATGTTCACACTGTTGTGCTTGCACCAAATGCTTGTACTGCAGTAGAAACCACATGAGCACACAGCCCTGTTCTGAATTGATGGTAGTGCTTTGTAAGCCCCACTTTACATCAGTGCTCAAACATTACACTGGGGCAAATTTATGTAATGTAGGCAGAGCCTAAGCTGGAGCGTAGAGCAAAAAGAACACTGCATAATTCTTTAGAGAAGAGCCAAGTACCAGGTAAGTCTGACAAATACTCTTGTCAATATATCCTGATCTTCAGTATTCAATGTAAAAAGAAAAGGAGTACTTGTGGCACCTTAGAGACTAACCAATTTATTTGAGCATAAGCTTTCGTGAGCTACAGCTCACTTCATCGGAAGTACTCCTTTTCTTTTTGCAAATACAGACTAACATGGCTGTTACTCTAAGTATTCAACCTGTCACCCTCAGATTCATTCATATAATTGGAAGATAATTTTGATTTTATGATAGATGAGTTTCCAACTAGAATTATGATCCTATGCAGACTATATAAAGTGCATGTATTTGTATACAAGATTCACGATTAACACTTATCTATAAAGTGCTTTAGAAACATCTTCAAAGAGTAATTTTGTATGTGTAAATTACAAAAGAAATAGGATTTTAAATCCCTTTAATGCTAAGAACATAAGAACGGCCATCTAGCCCAGTATCCTGTCTTCCAACAAGAAAAGGAGTACTTATGGCACCTTAGAGACTAACAATTTATTTGAGCATAAGCTTTCGTGAGCTACAAGCTTATGCTCAAATAAATCGGTTAGTCTCTAAGGTGCCACAAGTACTCCTTTTCTTTTTGCGAATACAGACTAACACGGCTGCTACTCTGAAACCTGTCTTCCAACAGTGGCCACTGCCAGGTGCCCCAGAGGGAATAAACAGAGCAGGTAATCGAGTGATCCATCCCCTGTTGCCCATTCCCAATATTAGTTAACTGTAATGTCTTGAACTGTACAGCCTTAATTATGAAAGTTTTTACTACCATAATTTTCTTGCTTTCCTAAATTGTGACTTTAAAGAAAAAAAACATAACTAATTCTGAAGGATCTTTAACAAAGGTTTGACAGTTATAAATGAACAATGATGAGCATGGCAAAAAACAGATATTAGAGTTGTTGAAAATTGCAGTTGGAACACAGACTATCAAAGAGCAGTGAAAGAGTTAAAGTTATTTGACTTCCGTTAATCATTCCTCTCAAAAAGCCTTGCTTACTAATGTTAGCATTTAAATAGACCTGACTAGGCTTTGAAGCTAACACCTCTCCAGGTTGAAAGGTGATGGGAGAGGGGGAGGAGTGAGAGTTTGCACCTTTTGCTGCTGTTATTGTTAGGCAGAACTGAGAGTTTATTTTTGCAATCCTAGATGAGTTACACATTACAGGCTACCTTACATCAATTTGCACAGCAAATACTGTACTATCTTCACAACAAGAAGTGCTAGAAACCTGGGTGCTGAGTTTCCACAACCCCAGCTGAAGTCAAATCAAACCCTTGATTTAAAAAATAAAACTAAAAATCTATCATTTAATCAAAAATGGCAACAACAAATCCCTGCATGGTGGTTTTATCTATGTGAGAGCTCAGAGAACATCAGTAATTAATTATATGTAAAAAATACTGCTTCTAATAGCATTTTTACCTGAAGAAGGAAGCAGCAATACAGCCACATGAGATTTTTCCTTTTCATCTATATATGCAACTGGGAAACTAAGACTGGTAAAGAAAACCAGATGATTTTCCAGTTTTACAAGTGAAAACAAAAGGGTTGTTTTAAAATTCAAACACAAGACTTTACTTGCAGTGGATATATGGGGATCAAGACAAAAGAGAAGTAAGGGGAGATTTTCACCCCTTCTCCAGCCCTTGTACACCAGATAAAGGGGACAGAGCGGTGTAAAGGGGCTCTAAAAGCCCCAGATCTAGGCAAAGGAGAAATTCCCCAGGGCAGGAACTGAAGATGACAGCTACAAGCAGTCTTCCAAGAACCCCTTAACAAACAGGGGTTTAAGGGGTACAACAGGGTGGGAGGAGAGTTTTAGGTGGAGCACCAGTGCCCAGTTCTACAAAGATTCTGGGCAGCAACTTATCCCAGGTGTACACTTGGAGTGCTTTTCCAGTATAGTTATACTATTACACTATAGCAGCAAAGCACTCCTCGTATGGATTCAACTTTTGCCAGTACAACTTATACCGGCTTCTGCAAACGAAAAACTATACCAGCAAAAGTGCAATTTTGCCAATATAACTGTGTCTACACTAAGGGCTTTTGTCAGCACAGCTATATCACTCAGGGAACACAGTTCTTCCCACCTCTGCCAGATCACAGTGTTGCCAACTCTCATGATAATCGTTGTTTTTCTTAAAACCCCAGCTCCTGGAGTCAAGTGGATATGTGATGATTTCATCTTTCATTCTTAAAGAAAAAGTAAGTTTCTAGACCTTGTGGCTGTGGAAAAAGCTTCAAAATGTGACCCCAGTGCATCCTAAAGACTCAAAAAGCAGAAGACAAATAAAGTCCAAATCTATTATTTTTACATAATCTCATGATTTTTGGTGAGCTTGACTCATGACCTTTTCATCATTTGGGGTTGGCAATACTGGACTGTGGCAGATGCTTGTAAAGTAGACCTGGCCTTAGGGCTGGGCTATCTAGCTGTGCCGTGCCCTGGGCTATATACCTGTGCTGGCAAAACCCCCAACATAGACACAGCTATGCAGACAGAAGAGGGCTTCTGTACGCATAGCTAATATTGTTCAGGAAGATGGTACTGATGGTACTGTATTACTATGCTGACAGAAGTCCTCCTGTCGGCATATGCTGTGTCTGCACTAGGGGGTTATGCAAGAATAGCTATTATGGGCAGAGCCTAGGTTCCACTGGGACCACTCTGGCCCTCAGAGCAGCATAGAATTGTGAGGGTTCCGAACACGCCCCCTCCATGCCCTGTTGCTCTAAGTTCTGATGTAGCACAGAATCTCATCCATAGACAGCAAATGTGCGAGTTTGTGCACATACAAGAGCACAGATGTAGCAGGGAGTATTCCTCATGCGCTGGTCTCCAACACAGTGTATGCAATCCAAACTGTTCAATCTTAAAAATGGAGTCAAGCTCCAAATTATAATAATAATTTAAAAAAAATAAAGGTTTTGATTTTTTTTTTTTACCATCTGGTTTTTGAGACTTTAAGGGTTTTCTCAACAACCATGAGGGCTGTGAGCTTACTTATAAATAAAAGCCGAGATTCTCATGCAATTGCCTGACACCATGAGCTAGGGGTTTAAGGAAAACACCAAATAAAAACCATAGGAGTTGGCAATGCTAGTATAATCAGACCCCTTAACTTTATCATGGAAGAGCACATAAATCCTTTTAAATTCCATTTGAAATGCATTGTTTTGAAGCTTTAAAATACTATTCGGACCAATCAGTTTATTCCATTAAATGTAAAGCTGTCTTACCTCTTAGAACCATAAATCAGAATTCTTTAACTACATGCAAACACAACACTCATTAGCAGTGACTGCTTCAGAACACCTGTGTCTAGGTGGGCAAATCATTCATTTTTATTTTTTATGTGTAGCAACTGGACCGGACTCTGCAGTAACCAAGTGCTCCCTACTTTACTGCTGCATTTGACTGTAAACTCTACTCCCAAGTCACCAGGATTAGATAAGAGATGAAAGTGGAGTGGAAGATCACAAAGTTTAGGAAAAATACAGATATTTCCCTTCCACCCAGGCTTTTGATCACAGAAATCATATTTCAATCACTGTTGCACAAAAATAAACATAAATTCAGACAATCCACTATTCAAACTTATTTTACCTTCTCTGTGCCTCGCTTCTTTTCTCTAGGTTGGTTAAGTTTAGCTTGTCTGTCCACCAAAATTTTCTGCCAGTACCGCTGTTCATGATCACCTTGACATACACATGAAGCGATAGTGTATTAATAAGGTTATCCAATATAAAGAATGCAGCATTTCATCTGTCATGGCCAGGTCAACTTATTTGAATATGTATAACCATGTGAACAATATTTGTGGATGAAACCTGGCACTTCAGTTCTCAGTACGGAAGGAACTTCCGTGTAAGAACAGGTTAATCGCTTTTCATTAGGAGAGGGGGAAAACCTTATTTTAAAATGGAAGCTTGCTTACTGCAATAAAGGTAGTTTTAAATACACAATTAGGCATACATATAAATCTTCAACCACTGACTTTGTGTTAATCTAAAAGAATATTTTTATGTGGGGGAAGAAGGCCCAGGGAAAAAAAAAACAGAGAAAATTTGCTTCCCAAAAATCATCTTTGTTTTGAGGTCAAGTCTGGGAAATTTTTTGATGGTTAAAAGTTACTTATTTTCATTTCAATTAGCTGATTTTTAAAAAAAATCCTAAGCCAGGACTTGGAGAGCACTACAAACCCAGAAAGGGATCTATGGTAAAGTAAGAATCTCCCCCGCAAAGCCAAGGTCCATCAACCCCAACTGTAATACTCTGGTCTTACTTGACAATGCTAAAATACCGAAGGCAAAAAACAGAGTAAAAATAAAGAATAGTAAAATTATAACTTGAAAACTAAATGCTGTATTTCTTCAGATTGTCTTTGGATCTCAGAACTGGAACAGTTTAAATGCAAGGCTTCATCGCAAAATGAAATATTGCTGCCTTCAGGAGATCACAAACTTCCAACTGAACTCTGCTTAAGAATTAACATAACAAATAAACACTTACATTATGGCTCTTGGGCCAAAAAGTTTTCCCACCCCTGCCTAAGGGCCACATCGGGGTTGCGCAACTGTAACGCTGTGCCTTCCCACACAGCCTGGCCCCCTGCCCCCTATCCGCCTCCTCCCGCTTCCCGCCCCCCTCAGAACTCCCGACCCATCCAACCCCCCCTGGCTCCTTGTCCCCTGACCGCCCCCTCCTGGGACCGCCAACCCCCCCCCCCACTTCCTGTCCCCTGACCTCTATCCACACCCCGCACCCTGACAGGCCCCCCGGGACTCCCATGCCTATCCAACCTCCCCTGCTGTTCTCTGTCCCCTGACCGCCCCCAAACCTCCGCCCCATCCAACCTCCCCCGTCCCCTGACTTGCCCCGTATGCAACCCCCTCGCCCCCAGAACCTCTGCCCCATCCAACCGCCCCCTGCTCCCTGTCCTCTGACTGCCCCCCAGAACCTCCTGCCCCTTATCCAACCCCTCACTCTCCGTCCCTTACCACGATGCTCAGAGCAGCAGGAGCCAGCCACGCTGCCCACATGGCAGGAAAGAAAGGGGGACAGCAGGGGCCGGGGGCTAGCCTCCCCGGCCGGGAGCTCAAGGACTGGGCAGGAAGGTCCCTTGGGCCAGATGTGGTCCGTGGGCCATAATTTGCCCACCTCTGCTCTTAGGTCTGTTCTACTCCGGGAACTTACATCGGCATAGCTACGCCTGCCTTATAGTGATAGATCAAGGAGCTCAATCTGTTTGTCTTTAATGAAGAGATGGTTAAGGGGTGACTTGATTACAGTCTGTAAGTATCTACATGCGGGAACAAATCTTTAGTAATGGGCTCTTCTGTCTAGCAGAGAGAAGTATAGAACTAACATACATCTGCTCCACTTCCCTAACTGCAATACGCTATAGTACATCTTTATACCAGTATAACTGCATCCAAACTAAGACAGTTTTATTACTTTAACTATACCTGTATAGTCATCAGCAAGTCTAGTAAAAAATTTCCATAAAATTCATTATTCCAAATGTCCTAGGGACACACTCTTGCATTTCACCATCACGTTGTAATTATGAGGCTGAAGAGTGGAATAGGAATATGGTTCACCGCAGTGACAATTGTCCATTGTCACTGAAACCAAAAAGTGATCTGCCAGTTGAAGTTATGTAAAGTCAAATGACCACTCTTGTAAGAATAAAGTTAAGTGGCCTGGTTAAGGCAACCAATTTAAAATACCAACACATTTTACTCAGACTAAAGAAAAATTGACATACTATGTTTGAGGTTTCGACGCTTTAGTTTTTGTAGAAAAGGGAGAATAGCAACAAGAAGAAATAATGATATAAAACCAAAATATTGATTCTGTAATTTATACACAACGCAGAAAAGTATCTTAACTGAATATCAGCAATACAGTTAAAATGCAGCAACAGTCCTGCTCTTGGCTCCTAGGAGCTGTCTCTTATGCATATATTTTAATAAACCTCTTACCAGTTAGAACCTCTAGTTTCCAGTTGTTTTTAATCTGAATTTCTTTATGTGCTTTCACTACAACCTGTGCATCTTCAGGAGTTTTAAACCGAACATGACACTCTGTATCTCCTTCCAGCATGTCAACATAAGCAACATTAGCTATCATTGCCAGAGCATCCTGTGGCACAAAAGAGAACTCAGACAGGTTAGCCAGAACAAAAATAAACTGCAGTATTTTCAAATACTGTCCTTTGAAAATCCAAGATGTACACAAAGGAGAAATGGCTTGGGAAATATTCTCTAAAGTCAGTTACAAGGAAGTGAAAGTGGAACTTTATTACATTAATAAACGAATCTGACGTCAAATAATTTCTGGCTAACATTTATTGAGTTTTCAGAAGAAAATCCATGAACAGTCAATTTTTACTAGATCGAGAACTATATAATTTACCTCAGAGTTGTATGTTTCAAGAACCCAAGCTCAGGCTACATCTGTTATGAATCCACACAACAGCTAACCCTTGTTGATGTTCTTTACAGTCATTAGGAGGGATGACAGCAGAAGAATTATGTAATGCAATAGTATTTCCATTTCATATGTTAGTCCAACAAAAATATATTTACTTCCACACCTAAATATTTTATTTAAGGTTAGGACTGTGGAAAATGAAAAGAAAAAGCTCAAGAATGGTGAACAAGTTAGGAAATCAGTACATGGAACACTACGGTGGATACTGGAGTTCCTTTTCTCCTATATCAAATGATCTCCGCCTGAAAACTGACACCAGCAGCCGAAGAAGGAAGAGAGTCACACACACTCTTTCAATCAAATACCTTACCTGTGAAACTTGCTGTGAGGGAAATTAACTGGTATCACTCATTCCTAGTCAATTTCATTCACAGCAGGTACTTACTTCAAGTAAAAATGTTTCTATGCAAGAATTAGGCACTACTTTTAACCCTCCAGCTGCAAGGCTGAATCTTAAACTCCCCCAGCACCTAGGTTGATAAGACCATGTGTGATCCAAACAAAACCTTTTCACCCCTAAGTTTGGTATTCCCACTTAACATTTCCACAGAAAATTATTCAGACCACCAAAATTAATTTTACAAGAATATTTGCTTATTGGTTGATCTCTGAAAAGTGCCTCCACTCAGTAGCATGAAACAACATTTTGGTAACAAGAATTGAAATGTTTAAGCAATAATGTTACATTAAAAATAATGCAATAAGCCAGCAAAAGATATTTTGCACATCTGTCAAGAATGTACTTTGAAACCTAGACTTACAACATAGAGGTGACCAGACCAGCAACAGAATATTTCCATAATTTCCTAAAATAAGCCAAAACATAGTAATATTTTTGTGTAACATTTTGTAAAATGTTATGTCTACCCTGTTTATTCTCTAGTCATGGTGTGACTCCACAGTTAAGATGGGAGTGACTTTCTATTATAATTCATATTTTCACAGTTCTTTATTTTCCCCTGAGAATTTTCATGCTAAGTCACAGGTCAGATCATTTATTTTTTAAGACTGACGCAAATCAGGCAAGTAATTTGATTTACATATCTGAAAATACCAAGGTCTAATACAGTTTGATTTCATCTACACAAACAAGACCAAAACTTTGTTATCCCCTTGACTATATATATCATGTTGTAACACAAACCCTGACATAATAAAACATGTAAGAGCAGACAAACATTGAACAGCGCTTAGCTATTACAAGTGGTGAGTGAGCGAGGGGGAGGGAGGAGGTCAGACATTCTCTCATTAATGTCTCTTGGATCTTAGATAGCTGCTTATAAATACCTAAATAGATAAGACTGATTCAGTTGAAAGCATATCACCAATTTGTTTTCAGAGAGAGAGATACGGCCCAGATCTTGCAAAAATTTACGCACATGCTGAAGTTTAGACACTTATGATTAGCCACCCTGACTTCAATTGTATTATTCACAGGATTGTAAAATTAAGCAATTGCATAAGTCTTTGCAAGACCAGGGCTGAAATAGTTTTCTCATTGCCTTAAATGATCTACAGAGTATTCATTCCAATATAACATAATGAATGCTTTTCAAACAGTAAACAAGTGTTAAACCTTCTGATTTAAGTGTCATAAAAGAACTGATTCAGTCCATATAATAATTCAGAGCCCTAACTACACAAAAAGAACCAGCATACACTAATACTTCATATAGTACTGTGCCGGGGCTTCTGAAATGGAGGTTTCCTATTTAAATTAGGGGCAAGTGATAAAAATGACCATCAGTTTCTGTGTTTCCCCAAACAGGCACAAGTTCATGTCTCTATTTATTCTTTCTTATCTCAACCAAAAATACATAAGAAGCTGCAAGTTGCAAATAATAAAAAAAGAATGCTGGTCCTCTATCACGTCACAGCGCTGCAAATTTATATCAAGTTTTGTGTAAACTAAGGCCAAAATACCAATTTGACAAGCACAAAAATAAGTAACACTTACATGTTATTTCATTTATCAAATTACATACAGCCACATGCAACATAAATGGCATTTTTAGAATAATTGTGAGTCACCTAGGGAAATATTTTATGACTCTCATTCAGGCAGCACTTTATTGGCCTCAAGTTCCTCTTAGATGAGCAAACCTTATTAAGTAAAAAAAAAGTTCAGTAAAAAATGACTGGCACAGTATATTATTTTTAATAGAGATTATTCTATATTAAGCAACTATCATCCATTTTGCCTTTATATGAAGTAACAACAGCTTACCAGTAACTTAAATAGTTATTTTGTTTGTTTTCTTAACAATACAGAATTCAACTGATGTCTGTCATACCTATATTGCAAGGGTGGAGCAGTCAGGGCTGGTGATGGAGGGAGAAAACAACTCACCCCCAGTAAAAAGTAAATCTGTATTATAAAACTTATTTTCATGGTAAACTTGACTTCTCTGGAAGAGCGCTTTCCTCTGCCCAAAGCTTTTATTCCTTTTGGTTTTGATATAGGTTCTCTCAAACTGGTTCTGCTTTAATGAAATCTTCCATTAATGGGTACTATTCAGAAATATGTATACAGCTAGTTGCCAGATAGAAATTCAATATGACTTGTTTAAATGGCAATCATTTTCAGGATGGTATAAGGGGAAAAGATAACAGCTGCCCTGAGGTTACAAAGGCATTACCTTGATGTGTTTCCTGCCTGGTAGGGGTTCGGTGCTAATGATCTTCACAATTACTCCATTCACAAACTGTGGTCCCATTGTGTTAGCTTTCTCAGGGGGACCAGAATCTTCACTGGTGGCTGTTAATTTGAAGAGGAAAAGAGCATAATGAAAGTTCACATGTATTAACTTGACAAACACAAGATAACCACAAAAATCACACAAACAATGCAATAAATCTTGTGGTGGTGTTCAGACATTGAATGAAACAACAGATACCAAACACTGCTGTAATGGATATATACTTAGTTTGGATCAGTTTATATATATATGGCTATTGATGGCAGTGACTAGTATTTCAAAGGATAAAAACCAAAGTGACAATACCAGGCATAATGAATGAATCAATTAGAAATCCCTCCTAAAAAAGGGCCATATACAAGTCCTTTTGCAGTTTTAAACACGACCTATGGTAAGGATCTTTGCACCCCAAATCCTGAAGAGTGCTGAAAAAGGTTTAACACTCCTAGGCTAGAAGTTTGTGGACAGACGTTCAGGGGATCCAGTGCAACCCAGTAACAGCGTAAGGCACTTTTATTATTGTTGGAAAAATGTTTTAGTGTAGTTCTTGTGAGTTAGTAGGTACAAACAGTGTACAGTACCTTGGTCACTAAACAGGGTGAATCATAACCTGATCTGTTTCTACCATATAGTTTTGTAAACCTGTCTGGAACACCGTTTATCCCATCTACACTCACCACAGAAACCTTGCTAGCATTGTACTGTCAAGAACTGAGTTGAAACATGGTTCTGACTACCATGGAGGCACTACTTATATAGACAGTCCTTAAATGGAAACTACCGCAATACATGTGTTAGTTTACTATGAACTATTATCATTAAATTAAACTAAACGTCTCAAAACCAAAGATCATTTTGTAATCTTGGATTATTTTCTAAATAATTTGATTATTCATTAATTCAGATAATGCAATAAATCATAATCAATATTAATACAATTTATTTTATATAAGATAGCTCCTTTAATATGAAGTGTTGTAAAAACTTTATTTCACTCTGCCTTTTCCATTCAGAGAAGTCAGTACACTGTGGAACTATTTTGATATAGATCTAGTCTCCAGTTCTATTAGAATATCAAACTCTAATGACCACCAACTGCATTAAAAAAAAAACAACCCCATCATAAAAACACACAATATAAAGATCAGAAAAACCTTTACATTTGACATTTTTTGTTTGAGGACGCTTTTGTACACCACTATCTGTTTCCATCTTCTCCACACACTCAGATTTGATTTGGGACATTGTTTTCTTTAAGGAAGCCATGCTGGCTTTTTGAAGGGCCAAATATTCTTGCTTCAGATCCATCCATTCACTCCTATGTAAAACAAAGATTTAGGAATAAACATGTCAATACTTGTGCAAAAATAATTAGACTTAAAAAAGCCATTGCAAACATGAAGACAAAATTATGATATTATTTGTATTACTGCAGAGTCTGGGAGCCCTTGTCATGGACCAGAACCCCAGCTAGGTGCTGTACAAACAGAACAAAAGGACAGTTCCTGCCCCCAAAAACGTAATCTAAGTATAAGACAAGAGACAACAGATAGAGACAGATGGGGTAGCACAAGAGAACAAGACAATATTCGCAAAAAGAAAAGGAGTACTTGTGGCACCTTAGAGACTAATAAATTTATTTGAGCATAAGCTTTTGTGAGCTACAGCTCACTTCATCGGATGCATTCAGTGGAAAATACAAGTGGGGAGATTTATATACATAGAGAACATGAAACAATGGTCAGCATGATAGGCATGGTCTCAGTATATCAACAGTCTAACTTAGCAAATTTTTGTAGGCATGATGAAAAAGACAAGTATTGAAGAGGGTTTTGAAGGAGGATAATGAGGTAGCTTTGAAGCTGTTTATGGGGAGTGCCCCCCAAGCGCAAAGCACAGTATGGAAAAGGCACAAGGGTGCTTGTTTGAAAAATTAACAAGTGGGCAATGGAGGCAATGGAGCATCATGGACTGATTGGAGGTGACAGTCAACATCTTGATAGCGAATGAGAGTGGGGATAGGCTGACATGGTCAAAATGACTTGCAAATAAAATACACAAACTATAGCTGACATCAGGGGGCAGATGCTCAGTTGGTGTAAATTGGAGCTATGGCAATATATACCAGCTGAGACTCTCCCCTGTTGCGCTTAATGGCCTCCCCATCTTTTTATATAGCTGTCTAGGGTCTGATGGTTATCTGACTAAATTACCACTTCGGTTTTATCTTCTAAATGGCCTCAATAAATACTAACAGGAGAACAAAATTACTGAAAAATTGCCATATGTATTACATCTTCTTCAGAAAGCATTCTGAATGCTTTGGTAAATCAGACATATTATTTGGAACTGGAATTACACAGAGCACAGACACTAATGCAGTACTGGTTAGTTCACTGAGCCCTCTTTAGTTTTACTATATTAAAAATTAGTCACTTTTCTCTAGAAAATTCACTGATTAAAAAAAACTGGTTAAACCCACCCTCCCCCCAAATCTATAGAGATAAGAACATTCCTTACTATTCAAATGCATTAGAGTTTTTAAAAAAATCCACACTGCATGGAAGCAATTTATATATTTACATACATTTAACATGGAGATGTTTCTGCAAACAGCTAGAGCTTTGCTCCAAAGAAACACAATGCCTATAGTGCCACTGTGAGAACGACTCATTGTTACCCTAATCTGTGCTATCAAACAAGCTGATAGGGGATTTTTAAAGAGGAGGATATCTTGTGGTAATGGTTTTAGCTGTTAACATTGACAACTGTATACTTCAAAAAAGCATCTAGCTCACCCAGGATCATACTGTTCTCACAGAGCAAAGACATTAAAATAACAAAAGAGCCATGTAATGATTCTTTGAGATAAAAAGGCAACAGCCACTCTGTAGTAAGGTATGGTATAAATAAGAGCCTGAGGAGGCACTCCCTGTTAACTAGACTGAAAAGGAAGAGAAGACCATGGGGAATGAGCCAGGCAAGTAATTCAATGTTTATAATGTTCTTCTGAAGCATTTCTACTATGCAATAATGAACAGAAATGTAATATTCTTGTGTTATATTTCATGCAGCAGGTGTACTGAACTGGTGGAAAAGGATAGCAGACACTGCAAAGTACTGGTTTACATGGACCCCTTCTACTTTAACATGGAGGTGCTTTCTGTGACTATAAAAAGTAAGTGCTTCCATGTTTTAGTAGAGGTGAATCCTGATCTCAGTCCTGGAATATGCATGTGGAAAAAACAGGAACCTCGCCTCTGCTCTTGTGTCACAGGATTTGTTAACCCATAAAAGGAAATAAACACAACAAGAGGAAAAATAAGAAATCATGTTTACCTATTGTGTAAAATCTCTTATTATACAATAGTTGGTGTTCAGACAAGACCAGTATATGGGTCAGGTAACAATTATATTTATATTTTAAAAAATTAGTATGATTTTGCTGGTCAACTTATTTAAGTGAGAGTATGTTGTAATTAATATTAATGATTATTACAAGTGAGGTATTTACTGACAACTTTTAAAGGACCCTCTTTGCTTTAACATGGGGGTACCTGCTGCCTAGAAAAAGTGCTTCTATGTTTCAGTGGTGGTGGATCTGAGTGTCTTGAATTTATGACACTTCTAGAAAATAGACTGATCACAACTCAGAAAGAAAACTAAAATGTGCAGAAAGTAACAAATGCTACCAAGTCTGTCCTTTAAAATATCAACCCTTATTGTTTGTACTTCAAACTTCAGATTTTTCACAACAATAATGCTGCCTAAAGATTACATTTTATATTATATATATTACTCTACTATTAGAAAATACCAGTCTGAATGTGCATGCTATCTATATATTTTAACAAATTCGTATATGTAGTTATATTTTACAGAAAAAAGAGGCATAACAGAAGTCTGCAGTCTCAGCTTAAAGGACCTCCACTACTTTAATGTGGAAGTACTTGCTTTGCTCCTGAAAAAGTAAGTGCTTCCATGTTTTAGTGATGGTGAATCCTGATTTTTCAACTGCAGAACATCTACACTGAAAAAAATGCCCATTTCCACAGAAAACATTTGATGTGGAAACCTAAGAGGACTACAGATTTACAGTATTGTAATTAATCTGTAGCAAAAACATTCCATGCATTGTAGATTTCAACTATACAAAAATACCCTACCATAGTAATTTAAAACATACTCTAAGGGAGAAATCCTGCCCATATGAGGTAAGTAGCACTTAGACAGAATCCATGGCTTAGACTGGCATCATGACATAAATTTGAAATTCTCTGGGGGGCAGGGGGAAGTCAATGCTCTGTTTTTCTCCACAGCACTAATGCATCTCTATATACAAGGTTAGTTTCTCTTTTCATAACAGCTATGCACTCCTTCCTGCAAAAATAGTTAAGTCTTTGTTGTAAAGGACCCCCTCTACTTTAACATGGAAGTACTTGCTGGATGGTTGAAAAAGTAAGTGCTTCCATGTTTTAGTTGTGGTGAATCCTAATTGCTTATTTACAGATCAATGCTGTTTTAAGTACACTGGTTAAAAGTACACTGATTATCTGGAGGCCCCCCAAGTTGGAATGTTGTTTGTGTTTGATAGTTTGTTGTTTGTATTTGATAGTACTGTATTTTGGGGCTTTTCTACCTATTTTTTGTATTTTCCAGGTAGCATACAACACAAAGAGCAACAGATGGCTGTTTTTTAAATCCAATGAGATGTTGGTATTAAGAGTATTAGAAGGAATATAAATAAACAAAACTACTCAATTTACATTTTCATCTGAAGTTCGCTGTAAATATCTCTTGTAAAATATCTTAACTGCAGGCCACTACTGTTGCTAATATGCAACTCTGTTGTGTAAAAGCTGGAATTGCACTTTAGCAATGGTGATGGACTGTAAGACATACAAATAGATATTACAGGAAATAGCAATGTAATACTGGACAAATTAGTGAAAGAAACAAGATGTTCTCAGATAAATATCAAAAGATGCATTGTATATTGTATATTGAATATTTAATAAAGTATGTAAAACTTTAGAAACTTGTGATATTTTATTGGACATTTATTTTTATTTGAAAATGTCACACAAAGTTAACAGTGGCATGTTGGTGTAAAAGTAGTATGCACATTCACATATACCATTATGACAAAACATGAAGGCATTTAAATTTGGGTAACAGTTTAAACATGTAAAAGATCCTGCTTATAAACTTGTTTCTGGGGATTAATTTGGTCTGTTCACTTGTAGAATATACTAATCAACAATCATGAACAATTCAAATTTTGATCTTGGAAGGATCTAAGAAAGTACAACATAGTTATCCACAACTCTTTAAAAGTATCCTTTTTGAAAGAATCCCATTAAATTTAAAGGGCCTGGCAACACAGCTTGGCTAAAAAGCAGCATTTAAAATGGAAACTTAATGCTTTTATCCCATAAATACTTACCACACACAAGACTCAACTTATTGCTAGTTACAAGATAAGCTACATAGCTTGTTCTGCCTGTTAAATTTTATAAAAGAGTATCATAATATGGTTTCCAAACAAACACGTAAAATATATGAAACATTACCTACACACATCATGGGACTACATAGGAGAAAAGTGACTTTCTAATAGCAGATTTGGTGCCATGACTGACCCAACAGTCTGCATGGATAGTAAAATCATAACTGAAGCTAAGTTTTTATTAATTGGAAAACAAGTGCAAAAAACAATATTTAACTTGTTGGAAGAATTAACTGAAAGCCTGAAGTTCAATCCTGAACATTTACTATCTCAGGTTTCAGAGTAACAGCCGCGTTAGTCTGTATTCGCAAAAAGAAAAGGAGTACTTGTGGCACCTTAGAGACTAACCAATTTATTTGAGCATGAGCTTTCGTGAGCATCCGATGAAGTGAGCTGTAGCTCACGAAAGCTCATGCTCAAATAAATTGGTTAGTCTCTAAGGTGCCACAAGTACTCCTTTTCTTTTTACTATCTCAGGCACTTTAATTCCTTTAATAGGAAGGAAAAAAGCATGGTCCATAAACTGAAAGGTTTATGCAACGCTGGTGTAATTTAGTCCTCTCAGTTTACATGAAGAAAAAGTAGACCTGTCTGCCTCATGCAAACTGCATAATGCCATCAAAGTACAGACCAGAGTTTCATTTAGTTCAGTATCCAACAGTGGTCAATGAGAGATTCTTAATTAGGTTTAAGAAGCTTCCATAATGAACCTAATTGCAGGGAAGAGAAGGAGGGTTGATTGTGATCAACATATGCTGTGAGAACTGTAGCCCTTAAAATTTTACTGAAAGTTACTTGCCACAAAGACAGCAGGGTTCTGTGTATTTTTCATGGTCTGAATATAGCTAACATCCCACCATATGGTGGAAATAATATTTTCCCCAATACTACTCCTAAAACAGCAGTCTTAATGTTGACTGAGAGCTTATAGCAGCTAACTGATTAGGAGGGGAAAAAATTTTACTGCCCTACAGTTCAAGCAGGTTAATACCATTGACTATATACCATACCATTCAAAAAGATGGCAATCAGCACAAAAATTGGACTACTAACTTCAGAAACCTACTCTGAATGTTATAAACATATTAGTTCGTATCATAACGTACTTTGAGAGTACTCTCAATGGAATGACCTCCTCTCCCATCTTGTGCCTTTCTTTGTGCTTTTTCTTATGCTTCCTTTTTGATTTTGAAAGGGATGTATCTTTCTTATCACCATCTTTCTCCTCTTCTGTAGTAACTTCTAAATGAAAAACCCCAAAAGAAAGATAATTGGACATATCATATTTAAAGCGACAAACATAACTGAAATGGCATGTTCCTTCATTTACATTGCTCTAAGAAGCACTGCTGAGACACAACATTTATGATCAACTTTTTCCGTTTGAATTTTTCCTGCTAATATCACAGTGAAATGTAGGGAGGTCTCTTCTAATTTATTTCCACAGTATATTTAAAAAAGTACAGACAAGTACAAACTGTCTCTGTCAGCCAACATGAAAAACAATGCAGAATGCAATGGTGCTTGTTTTAGACTATTATTATTCTCTACTTTGTTTCATCCCCAACCCCTCACTCCTTCCTACACTGAGCACTGAGTTTTCGGTTTATCCTTTACAAAATTGAAAAGATATTGTACTCCATTGCTTCCTTCATTTTAGATTCTTAATTCTCCCTTAATCCACCTATAATCCATCATTCTTTTCCTCTCCACACCCCTTCCAGTTCACATCAAAACCATCGCCAGCTCTGTGAATAAGAGAAACTAATTAACGGATTTCCAACAATAGTTGCTGTCTCCCTACCTTTTCCCCCTCATCAGTAGCATGAGCCACTAGCCTAGGGATTCTCAAACGTCTCTGCACCACGAGTCGCTTCTGACAACAAAAATTACTACACAACCTCAGGAGGGTGGGGGACTGAAGTCTGAACCAAAGCCCGACCCCCATCGCACTGGGTGGGGGGCCAAAGACAAAGCCTGAGCCCCACCACCCCAGGTGGGGAGGCCAAAGCTGAAACCCAAGGGCTTCCGCCCCAGCAGGAACCCTGTAACTTAAGCCCCGCTGACCTGAAGCCCTCGGGCTTCGGCCCCAGACGGGGAGGGGCTTGGGCTTCAGCTTTGGCCCCAGGGAGGTGGGCCTCAGACTTTGGCTCTGGCCTTGGGCCCCAGCAAGTCTAAGCCAGCCCTGGGGACCCCATTAAAACGGGGTCGCAACCCACTCTGCCACAGTGTGTGGACTCGACCTCAAAAGGTCCCTGCCAGGATTTTATGACTTTTGTTCTGAAGTTGTTTTCTCAACACAAACTTTTTGACCTGCGGATGTCAACCTTTTCCCCAAACTAAGATTGCTGTAGTCTAAGTGATTAGCTATTTACTTTTAGCTTTAACCATGGATCCTTATCTTCACATGTAATTTTGACATAGCTTTTGATATCTTGTGTCACTAGATCTTTCCTATTTCTAGTTAAAAAAAGAAAAAGAAAAAAGCGTCTCCAACACATTCCTTTTCTGATTTTAAACCTACCCATCTAGGTTTTTATATGGGGCCTTTCAACATAGTCTGAGTTTTTAAATCTACACCTAATTTCAATGGCATTCCAGCTGCCCACACCAGGTCTGAGCCTTCCCTGTAAACCGTATTAATTTCTGAGAAGAGCCTCAAATCTGATCTAGTCGCTCTGCTATTCTCCATCAAGCTCATCTCTCTGGAATGTCTCTGTGCTAGCTTTAAACTTGACAGAACTTCTATGAGCAATGACATCCAACTCTACATATTCCTCAACTCATTCTCTGAACCCTTATGTATCTGCCAGCTATTGGCCCAAATACCACTAATAATGCTTCAAAAGACTAAAGTCCTTTTGATAAAAAGTAATTGGTGTCCAATGTCTGAATCCATTGCCACTCTCCTTAGCACATAAATTTACCCAATACACACTAGTCCAAGTACTAGGCCTAGTAACCTCTGAAGCCATCCCTCCCAAAGCCATGAGCATGTACCCCCCACCTCCCTCTATGCACAGCTCCTTCACTCCCTCCTCCTTTCATGGAACCCTGCTCTTCTCTAGCCTAGACTCCTACTGGGCTCCCCACTCCTTCACTTGTCTGCCACAAGGTACTAACTCATCCAAAACTCCACCTTTCCATAAGGAAGTGGGTTTTCAGGAACTGATTTGCCTTTACTTACACCCTAACAATAAGATTTCTAACACTGAGAAGGAAATTCTTTTTTGGCTCCCAATCTCTTCCCCAATTCCCACTTCTTCCTCTTCTGCAAACCCACCTTTCACTATCTCTGGAAGATTGCCAAAATCCATCTCTCTTTAATTTTGCTTTTCTGCAGCTAAAAGGAAATACAAAAGTTACAAAATTCAATAATATTTTTACCTTTGGAATCCTTTTGAGCTTCTGTCGTTTCTTCTTTTGCAGAATGAACATCATCTTTTTGAGCAGTTTTCTTGACTTTTGCACCTAATGCCTCTACATCTCCAGAGTTGCTTCTTTTTCTCTTCCCTAGCCTACTTTCCTCAGTTAATTCTGGGCTTTCTGTTCTATCCCATTTTTTTCTCTCTTTCTTAGAAGATTGCCTATGGACTCCAGATACTTCCATTTCCAAGCACTCAGATGTTGTTCTGTGTCTCTTTGACTTGCTTATTTGATCTGCAGTAGTGTCCATGTTTGATTCTTTCATTTCTGCAGCTGACTGTACACTGCTCTCTTTCTTCATTTTGGATTTTTTCTTCTTCTTCTTCTTCTTCTCTTCTGTATAAAGCAAAACACCACATTTAAAACTTTGTCAATTAGCATTCCTGATGAAAGTTTAGATTAGATCAGAGAGCCTAACTACATAGAGGTAGCACAACATGCCCTCATATGAAGAGATCAAAGTTCAATTTTCAGTTCCTGGGAAAGTTGGGATGGGGATCATCCTGTAAAACTTCTTTGCAATTACTGGAAAGAGGCAAGAGATAGTCCCAGAAGGCTTTACTGATTATTTTAGGGAGATGAGATAAAACTAGAGGGATTTTTGCTGGAATCTCCCAATATAGAGGGGGGGCATGGTCTTGCAAGCGAAGGTTGAGAAGAGGTTTCCTAGAATGCTTCCTGTTGAGTTAGCAGAGAGAATCAAGAGTGCCTGAAAGGGTTGGAGGTAAAGTCCTGCTCTTCCTCACGATTTGTATGTGATTACAACATTCCCTGGAACTGGCTGCTTTTGGAGGTTGGCAGGAAAGAGAAGGGTCCTTACTGAGTCAAGATGGACAAGTAAATAGGAAAGCTGGCTGACAAATTATGAGTTCTATTGGGGAGACCCAACCTTTGGTAGATATTGGGAAAATGTCATAACTGCTTTTATGAACCCACTGAATCTATCACAATTTGTATACAGCAAGAATTACATGCCTGCCAAATTACCTAATAGGGAGGTTATCTGTACTGTAATGAGGGAAAATTAGGTCTGATACCCAGTACTGTTTATTTGCTTCCAGACTGGCACGGGCTGGGAACACTACTGAGAAGCAGCACAGTCAGGCCCTGACATAGAAGCGGCACCTCCACCTTTTGATTCACACCAATCACTACTACAAATGATTAAGGAGCAAAGCCTTGTTGTTAATAAAAGAGTAGTCAGTCATTGGCCAGAAAAATGATGGATGTGATGGGGAAACTCACTGTATGAATGGAGGGAGCCTCAAGACCCTTTATGAGACAAAGTGAGCTCCTCCGTCAAAAACAAGGTAAGAATGAGCTGGGCAAATCAACTGAAACTATAATCATGCTCCTTGAAAGATTATGCTATCAAAGTTAATCTACAGATCATTTACAGAACCACTGCTCAAGCATATTGAAGGGCTTTCCCTTGGCAATTTTCCCATGTTTCTGTGAGCAAACATTCTACTGACATTTAGAAGTCTCTGCTCAGAGGCAATGGAGTTATGAAGACTGTGAAGGATCCTCAGTGAGATGTTCAGACAGTAAAATTCTGGCAAATTTCTCTGGTTCTACTAGTGAAAGAACTGGTAAAGAAATACAGCTAACAAGTTCAACAGAAAGAAAAATGCCAGATGATTGCCATCCAAGATCTGTTAGGTGGTCACATTTTGGTTTTAATGGCCTTAACAATCTTTAAATGTAATTTTGCTATTGTAATTTATAGCCTTCTCTTCAATACTAAATGTTTTTATGCTAGTGTGAAAAATTTGACTGGGACTCATGGTGATTGTTTAAATGATGATTAATAAATAGTACAGCTTAGTTTGCTAGTATGAAAGCAAACAATGTTGCTTCTTGGTTAGCATGAAAGGACATTTTCATCCTTATTCAAGGAAGAAAAGAGAGGCAGAAATTTACTACTGAAAACAGAGATGCTTCATCTCTGTATTCCAGTTTTGCTTCCTAAACCCATATTTGCCAAGGAAAACAAAAAAAATTACAAATTTCTGTTTCAATAAAGTTTTAAATTAATAGATTAATTAAGGAGTTTACGCAAAAGGAGTTTAAGATGTCTGAATTAAAAATTACTATGCCCAAAATATTCCCCTCCCAAAATACTTACCCACTACACTGCAGTCACTTGTATTCAGCGCAGGAACAGGCTTATTTTTTACTGTTCTGGGGAACATCCCAGGTTTTCTTGGTGCTTCTTCTGGTGGATTATTCAAAAACTTAAATTAAAAAAAAAATAGGAAGTATTTAAGATCAACAAAATATTATTTAAAAACTAAATTTATTCACAGCGGAATACCCTTCCCCCCAAAAAGAAATAATTACTAAAAATATATACTGCCCCTACACTCATTCTAGAAAGATGTGGTCTCTGAAGAATCCAACCGAGGGGGAACCACCTTCTTTTGGATAATTGGTCCACAAGCACTGCTTAAAAGTTTATTAGTCTTCAAGTCATTAGTTTACTGGCTCCTTTGGCCAATACAACAGTTTTACTTTTGTTTTTGTTGGGCTATGGAATGATAATTTCTAAAACCTTAAGACCACACCACAAAGCTATGATAAAAGTTAGTATTAATACCTTCACTATCCTCTTCCAGTGAGCTGTGCGAGGCCATTTCATTCCCATTTTGCTGCTGTCATAAACAGACACTTTTATTCTGGGTTCAAAAGGAGCTAAAAAATAGCCCAATTAAATTAAGGGAGAAAATATCAGTGTGCGTTTCTCTTATTTGCTTCACTTAATTTAATTGAATTAGAAAACTTTACAGTTTGTAAAGCTATTTGCAGGTTTTGGGGGGAAAAAATGACAAAAAAAAAATCAAGGTGATATCCAGGCTTTGAAATTATATTATTTCTGAGAATTCCTGTATTTAAGTTTCCCTTCCACTTCCCTTTACAGCACTAGAGACTATTCACGTTTGCCACTCTATTATGCCTAAGGCTGTGAGTCTTTCACTGAGGTCACGGAAATCATGGATTCCTTTACTTTCCAGGACCTCCGTGACTTCTGCAGCTTCAGCTGCTGACCCCAGGGCTGCCCAAGCAGCCGTGCCTGGCCCGGAACCAGCCACACCGGCCGCTGCTTGGGCAGCCCCAGGCAGCTGGTCCCAGACACCACCCCGTGGCTCGGAGGAGTGGTGGCGGCGGGACCCCCTGGGCTGCCCCCATCCTTAGAGAAGCAGTGGTGGGGACCCACCCCCCTGGAGCAGCAGCGGCCACCAGAGCACCCTCCCCCAGATCAGCAGCGTCTGCTGGAGAACCCCCTCTCCCCCAGCACCTAAGATTTAGTCATGGGTGTTTTTAGTAAAAGTCATGGACAGGTCACTGGCTCCGACTTTTTGTTTATTGCCTGTGACCTGTCGGTGACTTTTACTAAAAATACCCATGACTAAATCGTAGTCTTAATTATGACCTGGAAAGAAGTGTTAAAGATGGGCCTACCTCAATAGCTTTGTCTGCTTGCTCTCTTGTTTCAAATTCAACAAATGCAAATCCCTTTGGGTCTCCAGTGGACTTATAACGTGGGATACTGACATAAACTACATTACCACATTTCCCAAATACCCGCTCAATCCAACTGTGGTTGACATTTTTGGGAAGCAGCTCCTAAAAAAAAAAAAAAAAAAAAAAAAGACGAAACATATCTCTTTTAGCAATATAATATACATGTTCCCATATAGTCAGTTATCACAGTATCAGAGGCTCAACGTAGCCTAGTACTGCTAGCTATTTAAGAGTTTTCAATGAAATACCTAAGAAAAATTTAGGAAATATTTTCACATTTCTAGACAAGTTTGCTTACTGAATGAAATAGGTAGATAAATAATAGTAAATTAATCAGTATGGGGAACAGCAGGTTTTAGCATTCATCTGGAAATGTCACTTTAAAACCAGTGGTGGGCAACCTGCGGCCCATCAGGGTAATCCACTGGCGGGCTGCGAGACAGTTTGTTTACACTGACTGTCCGCAGGCACGGCCGCCCGCAGTTTGCCATTCCTGGCCACTGGGAGCTGCAGGCGGCCGTGCCTGCGGACGGTCAGCGTAAACAAATTGTCTCACGGGCCGCCAGTGGATTACCCTGACGGGCCGCAGGTTACCCACCACAACTTTAAACTGTACCCTTGGTAAAAACAACAATGTACATTTGATAGATGTTATTTTCTCATTTCCTGTACCAGAAACTCAATTCTGCAATCACATCCATGCATAAGGAACCTTGAGCCAGTGCAGTCTCATTGGCTTGAAACAATCAGTTCACAACACAATGGTTTTTTGACTTTGGGTAACTCACAGTTCAGACAAATAGGTGTTCATTTGCAACAACAAACAAGCACTAGTGAAAGAACTGGTAAATTAAACCTGGTAGCTCTTTAGTTTTTAAACTTTATGATGAGCACTAGTATGCTAATTGCCCATCTGTAGTGATGACCAGTGCGGGGTTTTCAGCCAGTCACCTGGGCAATAGGCACATATGAATTGACAATTTTATGCCACACATTTTGGCAACTTGCAGACAGCCTGCCTCAGTTCCTACTAGCTTCCCCTTATTGCTGACAGTGGAAGCTTGTCCAAACTATTAGCTCTTTCTAGTTCAGGAATAGCTTCCTATACCTTTCTAAAGATGCCCTTATGGGTGGCCCCTTTGACAAGATACATCTTCGAACACTTATAGAAACAAAAATTGCAATGTCAGCATTATTTAGTCTCCCAACGGGTTTATCTTTCTCAAAAGGTTTTAACTGAAGAACTTAGTGACAAGACACTACACTGTTCCAAAAGAGAGAGAAACTTCTTGTTAAATGATTGGTTTAGTATGGGCTCTGCCTGCCTGAGCAGCACATTCCATTATAGTTTTGATACAATCTAAATGTCAGTGAATTTAAAACTACATAAAATATTTAATGGGATATGTACAGCACCAGAAACAATTACGCACTGCTAGGGAGTCGAAAGTAGAGCAGAGAAAGTTTATTAACCGTAAGATTATCTTTGTAAAACTTGTTTTGAAATTTAAACTTCAATTAAGCCTTAAGGGAAGTTTCTTTTTATAGGTAAGATAATGAAGCGACTCCTTAAAGGAATACATTACATGGACTTTATTCTTGTTTCAAAAATGGAGCTGTGCATTGTGCATACGCTGAAAAATACGCTATTGTCCCCGTGAGCCCAAGTGCAGTAGCAGATTTTTTTGTGATATGCAAAGGATGTGTTCCTATTCATCTGAAGCTACAAAAGCGGCCTTTGTGTTGATCCTGCACAAAAACCTCTCTCCCCCCTTCTCTAGTATGGAAGCAGAACTTATCAAGGACTCTAAGGGTGTGTCTACATTGCAGTTAAAAATCCTTCAGCTAGCCTGTGTCAGTTGGCTCAGGCTAAGGGGCTGTTTAATTGTGATGTAGACATTTGGGCTCAGGTTGCAGCCTGGGCTCTAGGACTCTGCAAGGTGGGAGAGTTCCAGAGCTCAGGCCCTAGCCCAAATGTCTACATTGCAATTAAACATCTCCTTAGCCCAAAACTCTAGTCACAGGCCAGTCGAAGGTGTCTCACTGCAGTATAGACATAGCCCTAGGGAATACCTACACAGCATTTAAACACCTGCAGCTGGCTGGGGTGAGGCGAGTTGGGCTTGGGATGCAGGACTGTAAAACTGTGGTGCAGATGTTCAGGCTTGGACTGGAGCCCAAGCTCAGGGCCCAGTCTGAGCTCAAACATCTACACCACAGATCTTACAGCCCTGAAGCCTGAGTCCCTCCAGCCTGAGCCCCGCAAACCAAGCCAGTCGCAGGATGTTTTATTGTTGTGTAGACCAGCAGTTCTCAACCAGGTGTCCGGGGCCCCCTGGGGGCTGCGAGCAAGTTTCAGGGGGGGTTCACTGACATAAATCAGAGACCAGGGCCACCGTCAGACTCCCTAGGGCCCAGGGCAGAAAACTGAAGCCCGAATCCCGCTGCCCAGGGCTGAAGTCAAAGCCCAAGCAACTTAGCTTTGTGGGGTCCCGGGCAATTGCCCTGCTTGTTGTTCCCTAACCCCGGCTCTGGCTTTTAATCTACTGCATTTGCAGAAGAACAGTTGTTGTGGCACAGGTGGGCTGTGGAATTTTTATAGTATGTTGGGTGGGGGGTGCCTCAGAAATAAAAAGGTTGATAACCCCTGGTGCAGACATACCCTAATAGAACTATACCGCCCCATGGTTGCGCTTCAAAAGAAGTGATTTAGCAGGGTTTGAAATTTACTTAATCTCTGTATAAAAAAAAAAAAAAAACCATTGGTCTCTCTCTCTTTTTAAAAAAATCTGTAGGTGGTAAGAAGGATCAGATATATATTGTAAATTACTTTCCATATAAGAACTTTGGAAATTTGGTGGTCTACAAAATATACACCAATGATTCTTTTTACAACAATTTCAAATCAAAGCCTAACTAACTAGCTTATTAAAATAGCTTATTAAAATAGGCTTACTTCAAATAATATTGACAGAAAAGTTTCAAAATATTTGAAGAGCTTTGGAATAAGGAGAGCTTACAACTGCGTTCGGGAATTCTATTAGCACTATCACACCACACTTAACAAAAGCCCAGCCATCACTATTTGTTGTTAAAGAAAGGAGCTGCTGTATAAATACTTTATTCTCTAGAATCATCAGAGCAACCCACGTTATTTACTGATCTGGAGAGCTGTGGTACTTTGCACATGTATATACCGACATGGTGGTTACCGAATACATGCCATCACAAAAAGTTGGTACTACAAATAAAAAAAATGCTAGTTCAATGAAAACTCAATTCCCCTAATGGCTCCTGCTACATACCTACTTTGATACGAGCCATAAAAGCTCTCTGAAGTCCAAGGGACTCCTAGGTAATGCCCCAGTGAAATGGGAACTGGCTACACAGAGCTCCTTCTGAAAATCTTCCAAGAATACAGCTCCTCAGAGGGAGCACTAGCTTACATCAGCCAGCAGCATTTTTTACTGCCATTGCTAGCACTGCTGGTATGTTGGTGCTGTAGCAATATAGCGATTTTCAGAAAGATCTCAGTATAGACACAGTGCATAGATACTGGAAGGGTTTTCCAGAAATAAAACACTGAAACCAACCAATTTAGGAGCTTTCTGCTATCAAAAGACTGATGATACTATAGGGCAAACCAGATTTGCAACAAACATGATGGTACTTCTAAAACTAATAACTACTATTGTATTGTACGCTCTATAAATGACCTATAAAATAGGTCTAGATTATCTGTCAGACTCATCCAGCTCATCTTTTCTGATCAAGTTATCTTTATCATCATCCTAAAGCCTTGTTTACTCTCAGAGAATATATATATATATATTTAAGCACTTGTCTGTATCAGCACAGCTCCTCTTATGTTACAAACTGTGGAAGCAATAGTGGAGGAAAATACATGAAAATTTCTCCAATATAACACAACCCCTTGTGTGTTAAAATAGATCTTGCTTATCTTGCTAACAGTTAATTTGAGTTCAATCATTCACTCTATATGCTGCATCTTGATTTAACAGCAAAAGAAAAGCAGTAGTAAAAGGGACATTAGAATATTTATGTTATGAAGAAGATCATTTCCTTTCACCAAAGCTGCATTGTTCTCCAGTCTTCTAATTCCATTAACAACCTGCCTCAAGTACCAGCTAGTATTCATTATTTATTGTTCATTATCCTAACTGGTTCACTGATTCATAATTCCAAGGCCAGAAAGGACCACTGTGATCATCTAGTCTGACCTCCTGTATAACAGAGGCCATAGAATGTCCCCAAAATAATACTTAGAGCATATCTTTTAGAATAAAATTCAATCTTGATTTTAAAATTATCAGTGACAGAGAATCCATGCATCCCTTAGTAATTATTCCAGCGGTTAGTTACTCTCACTATGAAAAAGTATGCCTTATGTCCAGTCTGAATTTGTCTAGTTTCAACTTCCAGCCATTGGATCATGTTATACCTTTTTCACTGTTAGATTGAAGAGCCCATTATTAAAGATTTGTTCCCCCATGTAGATACTTGTAGACTGTAATCAAGTCAGCTCTTAACCTTCTCTTTGTTAAGATAAACAGATTGAGCTCCTTGAGTCTATATTTATAAGGCATGCTTTCTAATCCTTTATTCATTCTCATGGCGTGGCACTTTACAAGACAGAAACAGACCAGGTGCTGTGGAATTTACAGTCTACAATTCAGTAAGAAATAAGTTTAAAATTAACCTTCATAAAAAACAAAAATAGTCCATTAACCTTCTACACATGAGACATGTAACGGATGCAACCTTACCACATATACAGTACGACTATCCACATCTTTTGGTTGCTCACCCAGTGGCTGACGTCTTCTGATTCTAGTTCCCTCTAAATCCAGCTAAGAGCAACAAAGACAAATTAGGGCAGCATTTTCTAGTCTTATCTGCCACCCCAACTACAGTAATAGCAGCTAAAAAAGAATGAAAAAACAATACACACTTCCACAACAGATGAGCTTTTAACTGCTCGGGCTATCAATTTCCCATCAGTCGTCAATTTTTTCATTTTGTTGAATGATACAAGAAGTGATATGTCAACATCTGGAGGAGGGAAAAAAAACAAGTTCAAAAGGAAAGCATATTTAGGTCTCATTCACATGAGCAGCAGATCAGTATTATCTAGGTGTTCTAAAGTACCATAGAAGCCACTGGGACCATTTCCATGCATAAGAACTGCAAGAGCATACCTCTGGTTTGAGTATTGACAAGAACTTACATAAAAGTAGATTTTTACCATCTGTAATTTAGGGTTTCAGTAAGCTTAGATTTTATTTCTCTTCCCCATTAACTTTCTTCCCAAAGGAATTTTGATCTATTCTTTCAGCTCCCACTGGTAACTATTCTCTTTGGAAATAAATGAAGAAAACCCCCTTTCTATTGTGGTTTTATAATGTAAAAATCTTTTGTACTGAAGAGGTGCCTTTCCTCCAAGCACTCACTTAGTGTTCAGATTCAACCCAATGCTTCCATTACAAAAGATCCCTTCACTCCCTCTATTTAGTAGCAATGAGTTATGTTGCTAAAAGTTTGACAGAAACTGTTGCAATATATGTACTGGTAAATTTTTTTACCAAGTTTATTTAACATTAACATGCAGAAAAAAGGTTAAAATATAGCCATTTGGAAGAGGGCTTTAACATCATTTTTAGATTGCATAGCATTTGATATAAAGTAACTCTAGTACATTCATTTAGCATACAATCCCACTTAGGAGGATGTCCACAATACCTTACCAAAAAAATCAAAGGACCTTTGAGCCTGTACTAGCATCATAAAATCACATCACATAGCACAATACAGCGGAAAGAACCTTTTCCATCTTAAATGACAGGTATTCTGTGGTTCTTTAAGAAGCCTAACCAAAAAATCTGACACACCTGTAGCTTTTTGCTTTGTAAGGTAAAAGTCAAATAAACCACACAAACAAAAATCAAAGGACAGACTACAGAACTCTCACTAGTCTTCCTTGCCATGCAAAGAAACAACCATTCGCTCATCCAAACATATCTAAAACACAAAATAAAAAAAGCTGGAACAAAACCAAAAGCAAAATTAAAGTGGGAGCTTCCATGATTCCATACCAGCTACATTATAAACCAAATATTAATAGTGAGATTGTATGCTTTCCTATCATTTTCACTGATGTAAAACAAAAACAACCAAAACAAAAACAAAATCAAAAGAACCACAAATTTTCACCCATGAAGATTCTCCAAAAGCACCATCATAATTGGCTGTAAGGGAAGGAAAAGAATAAGAATAAATAAGATTCCTCATATGAGCAGTACCCATATCTCTCTTATGAATGGACTGTCATTGCTCCAGTTGCTTGAATGGGCTTTTTTCCTCCACAGCAGCTACACATACAGAATGCCTCTATAATTTATATATGCAATAATTCAGACCACCACCACTGCAGATGAAATTACAATTCAAAACGGAAATTTGTTTACCACTTTTTCTATTATTTAAGAGCAAACTTACATCCATCTCTAGATTTCTCTATTTGTTCTCGGAGAAATTTGTCTTTGTGAAGGTTGACATCTCCAAACCAGAAATCTACTTGTTTTGCAATATCTGACAGCACCTGCTTAACCCTGGACCTTTTCTTTTTCTCTCGTTCCTTTTTCTGTTCAGTGCTTTCCTCTTCCATGGCTTTGCCTCTTACAGTTTCATTCTCTATGCCAGTCATTCTGTCATCTGAAAATTAAACATAACTTTGTAAAAATAGTAGGCAATACTGCTTTGCTCTTCTATTGCACCTCCCATCCAATAATTTCCAAGAGCTTTATGTTTGCAGTGTTGCTGTAGTCATGTTGGTCCTAGGAAGAAGAGCTGCATAAGCACAAAAACCTCATCTTTTTCACCAACAGAAGTTGGTTCAATAAAAGTTATTACCTTACCCTCCTTGTCTTTCCAGAAGTTTATGCTGCTTATCACCAGCTAAGGATCTGGCTGCATGAGTTTCTGGTTTGAACCCCAAGTTTAAAAACAGTCTCTTTGTAGAGGAATCCCACACCAAAATGAATTTTAACACTTGACGGTAGTATTCAGCACAATTGGACTTGTGGTGGAAATGGGATGCACGTAAGAAAATGGTCCTTGCCAGATCATCAAAAAGCTAAAACACACCTCTGCGAGTACTTATACCAGGAAAGGATGTGGCGAGCCAACATTTTTCGAACGACATCTTCTGAGTACAGTAAAATGCATTTTCACTACATTGTTAATATTCTGTCAAAGATTTAGAGCACCATATTTTTGGGCTCATTGATGAATACTGTTTTTTTCAAGTCTACATTATAATCTGGATGTGCTGTATTTAAAAATAATGTTTTCCTTTTTCTCAGTTATTTGGGGCCTGATCTTATGAGGTGCTGTGCATCCTCAACTCCCACTGACCTAACCGGCAAATTGAGGGCTCTTGGCAACTAATAAAATAAAGCTCTTAGAAAACAGAATGTAACTTGAGCAAAGATAACAAGTTACATGGGTTTATATAATTAGAGAGAAAATATCAAACTTGGTCTTGGGCATCTATAAACTCTAATTCATTTTGAGCCTGCTCACTTTTCAACCTTAAGAATGACCAGTCTTTCAGACTACTTTATTCTGTATGTGTAAAATAAAAACAGATACAACTTGGAAAAAGTGGGAAGCTGTCTAAAAATGAAGTTATCACAACGGTTGAAATATTTTATGCATGATAGCTACATAAGTCTTCCCATTGCTTGGCCAATGGTTAGTACTGCAATACAATATACCAGGAAGTGGTGCTTGTAAGAAGAAACATCAGAGAGGAAGCTCATCTTTATAACAAGATGGCATAAAAATGGAAATGGTTTTCAGATTATTGTGTAAATCAGGCTCCTCTTAGCAAGATTCCAGTTTATCTCCCTGCTGTGATCTGACCATTCAAGATGATTTAAGGTCAACAAGTTGTCAATTAATTTGAAAGGATAAGTGAGGTCATACTCTGACCACTGAGCCAGAAGTTCAACGTGAGTTCAAGTCACACAGCAAGACAAATGTCAGCAATGCAATACAGTACTTGGAAGGAGGCTAAAGGAAAAATTGTACTATTAATTAGAGGTACTTTTTCCCACCCGATAGAGGATGCCTCTGATGAATATCCAGTTAGAAGTTAAAGACTGCAAGCCAATTCTCTAAATAAAATATTCAGGCATTATAGATGTATTCCAGACAACATCCTCTCTCTGAAAAACAAACACCCACCCCCCTTAATATCCCAAGTCTCTGAAAGCTACAGCTCATCACATAATGACAGCTGTGCTTGTCTTGTCTACACCAGCACTTAACTATCAGTATCCAACCAATCTGTAAACTATTTAGGAAGCTTCAAGTATTAAGGACATTAGAAAACCAACTTTTAGTTTAGGCAAATTCTAGATTGTGCTGGGAGCATTAACCAGGTCCCAAGTTGTGACTTTGCCAGAAGTCCTGAGCAAGGCTAGCTTGAAGATGCACTGCCCCAGGACTCAGAGTCACAATAAGATGCTCAAGGGAAGAAAGGGGATGAGAAGTGAAGATGAATGCTCTATTACCTTGCAAAGAAACCTTTCTTCAACATGCCAGCTTAGCTGCACTGGCTGATGTACTTGTGGGGAGACAAGGGAGAGCCACAGCTCTGGTAGGAGGAGGAGTGATCCTGCAGAACAGGGGTAGTCAATAGGTGGACCCTGGGCAAAATCCGAACCACCAGACGCTTTTGAATAGACCCAGAAATTTTTATTTACTTATTATAATCATTATTATTATTATTTTCTCTGGAATCTGGACCGTGACTATATCTTGACCAAGAAATTTAGACTGTGACAAAAAATAACTGACACCCCTGCAACAGAGGAAATCCTCCCTCTTTCATTGCTAGTCATGACTCTGGTAGCCAGCACAAGAAAATGCTTTGAATTAGCTGGGTCACAACCTGGACACTGTATTGTAAAACTGGTGGAAACCAACACTATTATTTGTGGAAGAAGAAACTCATATTATTCCCTTTGAGTCATTCACCACTGAGGTTTAGGTTACTTGGCCTCAGCATTAAGTCAAACAATTGACATTCATTGGATTTGTATTTTAAAAACAAAGGATTGTACAAAAAAGTCTCTTGGGTTTCAACCATAGTGAAGTCATAGAAAATGCTCAAAGATCAAAAAAGCTAGCACTCTCAATCATTGTCTTATGAATAGGGCACTCACCAAAGTACTTTCCAATTTTTTCTATTTTCTTACTCAAAGTAGCTATAGCAATATCCGGCTCTAGCACAATATCAACGGTCAGAACTACTTGATTTTACATAACTATATTAAAATCAGCATTAATACATTTTCACAGTTAACATCTATTACCTAGAGAGTATTTTCTAATTATTGTTCAATTTCCAACTGGCATGCACACCAGCTGCTCAGGTAATTTAAATAGAAAAGATTTTAAATGGAGCAGCACATTATGTACAAAGAGTCAAAGAATAGAAAGAACAAACAATAACAAAACTTATCAGTAAAAGCTATGGGCCAAACAATGCTATACTTCCTCAGATAAGCTTTTGTTAACTTCAGTGAAAGTTAGACATTTACAAGAATTACAGGATGTAAGCGACTGTCAAGCAACTGTGGTTTTGTCAGGAAAAAAAGCCCTCTTTTAACCAACAGAAATGGGTCAGAGGTTCACGAGTCACAGTGGTACTGAGAGATATGTTTAACGCTTACAATGCCAGATTCTATTCTACTCTCACATGTGCAAGGTGCTGCATGTAAAAAGAACTGGCAGCTTTGTTATAATGTTGAGCAGGTGTAAATGCAGTATGGTAGGGTTACCAAACTGAATTGGGGGCTGCAGAGCTGAACTTAGATTGCAGTCATTTAGAGTATGTTCTATACTGTACTGCACTGGAAACTTGGGCTCAGACTCAGGTTTGAGCCCACCCCCTTATCATTCACTCACAACACTAATCAGCCCATCCAAGGAGTGCGGGGGGGGGGGGGGGGAGGGAAGAGCCTAATACTCCGTGAGACTTAGGTCCAAGCCCTATCATTTTGTAGGGTGAATGCAGCTCAAGCAACAGACCCAAGTCAGAAGATCGGTGTATCACATCCTGGACAAGTGGGCCCAACTCCAGCAACTGTAAGCCCAGGTTTACAATACAGCCTGGATACTCAACCCAATGCACAAGCGTGGGTCGGGTTTACAATGCAGTGTAGACATGGCCAGAGAGGCGAGGGCAGACCACAGCAGGGCAGAAGTCAACTCCCTCGCTACACCACTGCAGTGATGGCAAAGGAACTGCCCCTCCCCGTGCCAATGGCCTCACTCCGGAGTGCTAGGAGGAGGTGACACAGGGGGCAGCAACAGCACTTCGGAGTCACCCCCTCAAGCCCTGACGGACAAGAGGGAGGATCCAGTGACGAGCTGCGCCCCCCGCCCCAGGGCGCCCAACGCCACTAACGCCTCTTTCCCATCGCACGAGCCGCGCGGAAGCGCCTTGACGCATGCGCGGAGAAAGCACCTGGCAGCGCCCCCTGCCCGCGGGGCGGAAGGGGTTACACGTTGCCCTAAATCCCCATGTCTCTCCCCCACCCCGTCCGGAGAGCCGGGCTTTCACCTGCCGCCGCGAACTCCTGCGGGCTTCTGGCGGCGTGACGCAGAAGCCCGCGGCCAGAGAACCCACACCCGCCTCCTCCCCGGGCTCCTGCCCTCCCTGGCGCAGCAGCAGTCACAGCATCGACACCAGCGCGCGACGCTCGGCCGCAGGGAAAGGCCCCCGCCTGCCCTTCCGCCGGATCCCAGCGTCAGTTCTCTGCCGAAGGGCGCTCGTGAGCGCGTGCCGCTGGCACGCCACCTCTTGGCGACCGGCTCTCGCGCCGCCCGCCAGGCGGGGCGGGGCTTCCCATGCTGTCGCGCTGGAAAACAACGTCATCGACAGCGGGCGGCGCGGGAAACCTTTGAACATGGGAGAAAGGCGGAGATCGCGAGAGGTGCGGGAAGAGAGGGGGAGGGCCGGCTCCTGGCGCTCTGACACCCCCGGCCCCGCATCTCTCGGACGTAGCCCAGGCGCCACCCGGCCCCATCGGGGTCAGCACAGCGATCGCCCCTTAGCGCAACCGCGTCCGGTCTCACGTCGCCAGCCCTCCCTCCCTCCCCCGCCGCTTTTAAGGGTGACCGGAGAGGCTCAGCGCTGCTGGGCTCGCGATCCGTGCCAGGGGGGTTGGGAAAGACCGGGGCGGGGGAGGCCGGCTCGGGCTGCTTGTTGTTTATTACACCAGGACTAGCAGGAGTGCAGCGCCCGCTCGCCCTGTGGGCTCGGGCGGGGCTCGTCCGCCTCCATAGAAACGGTCAGTCAGTGACATGACGCGTCTGGTGACGAAAACAAGAGCCCCCGGATGTCGGGGCGTACCCCTCTGTCCGCTCCGTGGCAGCATGTCTACCCTCGCCTCCTGTCTCGTCCTTCCGGCACCCGCGTCCTCCAGCCTAGCTAGCGTGTGACTTGCTGATGGGTGGATTGCTCCATGCATGCTCTCCAGAGCAGGGACTGCCTCTGGTCGATGTTTGTACAGTACTCTGGCCTCTAGAGGCAAAGAGCAGAAGCCCAACTTCTTTCCATTGCAGGTCACCTTAGTGCTTCCCATCAGCTTGCCCCAGAGACAGGATTTGCTATAAGTCAGTCCTGGTTCACTTTTTTTTTTCTTAAAGCTCTGCTATATCAAAGAAACCACTAAAAAGTGAAGCACCTAATGTCTTGCTATCAGACGGAAAAAATAATATATAACTTTGAAATGTTAAGAACTTCAGTTACACTAATAACCCAGCTTTCAAGGGTAAAAAGTATTAGTCTTTAACATTGGGATTTTTAAAAGCACTCAGTATTGCCTGAACTCTGCTGTCATTGAAGTCAGTGGTAAAAGTCCCATTGACTTCAGTAAGATCAGTGTTTAGCTAACATGGAATACTTTTGAAAATTCCCTTGTAAATGGTTTGAGATGGTGGCTGTTAATCACCTTTAATATGAAGGGAGTGATATGAGAGCAAAATAATAATGTTTCATGCCCTGCCAGAAATATGAGTACAGTTTGTTCTGGTACAAATCCTTTCAGAACCATAATACTTTCTAGGAATTAGTGCTGGATCAGAAAGAAAAGTTGATTATTTTTCATTCTTTTAATTTCTCTCTTCCTCTGCTGCTGTTAAATTTGTAACTATGAAAACATTATAAGATACTGTCTTTCATAGAAACTATGCAGTACGGTCTTATTTTTAACATTAGGCATTATCAATATTGCTGATTTATTCTAGGTCGTTAAGGCTTTCACCAACAGATTCTATAATTTCCATTCTTATTCTTGTTCCATTTTGTTACTTGGGATGAGATGAAGACTATCTGAAAATTCCCATTCTGCTCTTAAGTAACCATCTTTGTGTAAAATGGCTTGATTTAGCATTGTTATTAGCTCAAGTAAGGGGAAAGTGCAGACTTCTAGTATTGTTACAAGAATGGTGATGGGCCACAGAATCTGTGAATTGCACAGTTGGGAACATGATTTTCCATATATCTCTCTAAACAGTACAAAGACTGAGAAGAATAAATTTATAGGTAAAGGTTCGGAGCCACCTTGTGGTGAGTGTGTAGAATTTAAGAAGTTGAAAGACAAGACACTTTAAAACTGGAATTCATAATGAAAAAGGTAGCACAGCTTGAGAGACATTGTCATGAGAAAAAGCATGAATATATTTTATCTTCTAATACATGTTTTTGATTCAGTTGTAAATACATTTATATAGAAAGAAAATATATTCTAATTTAATATCTGTTTATCTGCTAACAGCATAATCAGCATATTATGATTTTTCAAAAATACCTTTTGGGGACCAACTAGAAAAGTATTCTATGAGATATTTCAACTTGTCTCTACTGCTCTGACTGTTAAAATATAACAACCCTAACCTGAATGTTAAAATATACTAAGTATTCTCATTATCCCTTCATCTATGTTTTAATAGCTAGTCTAATCATCATATTTTTTTCTGTAATCTCTACAGCTTTCCCATGTTTTATGTCTTGCCATGTGCCTTTTCTTATGTTTGATTACTTTTAAACACTTACTTATATTGCTGTCTACAGAGCCAGCCAGTGATTTCAAGAAGTTAGAGCAATTGCCAGTGTTAGCTGTGTTCCTTTGGTTGTGTTTTAATTGAAGTCTCAGCAACTGATAATGATGATTAAGATCCCAATGTAAGTGCAAGTCTTTACATATAAATACAAGTTATTATGTTTAACATTTACTTTTCTACTCTATTGGTGTGTCAGTGTTTGAAGATGAGGAAATGTTTTATAAAGTTTTGATTACTGTTGACTGCCTTAGGCCAAGATTTTCATGGGAGACTAGTGATTTTAGGTGCCCAACTTGAGACACCTAAAAGAGGCTTGATTTTGCAGTATGTGTACTCAGCACTTTCAGAAGATCAGGTCCCTTTGTAGTGTTCAAAATTAGGTACCAAAAATGAAGCCCCACCAAATCACTAGGGACTTGAAAGTCTTTCTTAATTTGTTAGTAGTGGATATGTTGTTTTCTGTTTGAAAATTATTAGCCTAATAATTTTCAAAGTGTGCATAAACATTAATTAAACTGATTTTTCAGAGATGTGCTAATATTATCAGCTAGAGCTTCCATTAAAATGAATATGAGTTAAAGATGCTCAACACCTCTGAAAATTAGACCTCTTCTTGATATGTACTAAAAATGCTATTTTTGGTAATATTTTTTATTTTTGTTAGCTTATTTTCACCATATGAGTATTTAGAACTTCAAAATTCCTTCACTAGAACCACCACCCAGTTTTTACCCTGTCTTACTTCCCACTCCCTTATAGGGAAAGTACTGGATGTGTGTCTCTTTTGTCTGACACTTGCATTGCAGCGGAGTTGAATTCCAAATCTGCCCTTCTCTCTTTTGGGTAGGGTGAAGATCTGAATATCTGCAGTAAGCCTTTGGATTGCTTTGTTTCACCAAAGCAATGGCTTGTCAGGAGTTTACTGTGAGTCTTATTTTTATAATTGTATATAAAATTCAAATATGCATGTAGGACCACTGTAAATAATTTGTATTTACATTTTTTTAAAAAAAATAAGATCTTGTACACTCATCAGAAGACAAAGAAATCAAAAGTATGGCAAGATGGAGTTTTGAAGACCAGTATTGGAGGAAATAAGGTGAAGAATTCAGGTTTAATACAGTATGATACTCTAATACTATATCATATATAGTACTACTCTTGCATCTTCTATTTGTGTCACTCTGTTTGCTTTTTGAAACACAAGTGTTGTTTAAAATTATCCTATTTTGATACAGGCAACCTTATTTGATGACAGAGGACAATGTTTGGAGAGTGTATTTGTTAAATCTCAGGTATTTCTTTATTATTTTTATAATAATTTAAAAGCTTTTATCCTTGTTTGGATAGTAAGTTGAGGCAGCATCTTTTATCTTCACATGATCCAAAATTCCATACACTACAGTTTTGTCTAGCTTATCGTTGCTAATGTTCTGATCCTTGCAGCTGTTAAATTTTTGCATTAGAAAACAATCATCTGGACAGGTTGTTTGTATGTCACTGTATGTCACTATATGTAAAGCAGTACAAAGCAGTACATAGCAGATGTATTCAGTGGATAACTGACAAATGTGCTTATGGTGGATAATGAATAGTAACGTACAGTAAGTTTTCACTGCATGTGGTTGTGCAACCCACTATGCTTGGAATATCCTCCTACTAAAGTATGTAATTCTTTCACACCATTTCTTTAAAAACAAAAAGAAAAAAAACATCCTTCATAGACCTACCTATTCTAGAAAGCATTACAACTACAATGTACTCTCACCATTACATGTTTGATTTTGATCTGTATAGTACCTTTTCATGTTGCAAGCTCCTGAGGTGGAGAGCTGTTTGTTTGGTATTACTGAGTTATTGTACAGCCAAACACTGATGGACCTATATAAATCATTAGGATTTAAGGAGCTAGATGCTTTAAAAAAATGAAGTTTTTAAACTACAGTATTCAGTAGTCTGAGCAAATTGGAGTTTTTACATTAAAACCTATACAAACATAATTTGAAACTAAGGGCTAATGTTTGCTTTCATATCTAGTCTGCTCCAGTTGTCTAGGATAGAGTGAATATTGTGTGTTATGCTTTCATTTATGACAATATTGTAAACAAAAATTCTTTCAGTATGCATACGTTTTGCAACGTTTAGGATAAACTGTCATTTTTTCACTGGCCATTACACACACTATCCCTTTTGTTCTTTGTCTCGACTAGGTGAAACCTGGAGATGACTTAGAAAGTGACCGATATTTGATCACAATTGAAGCAGCAAAAGTTACTGAAAACTGTGGTAGTGAGCAGCCAAAGAAAACAGAAGCTCCTATATTGAACAGAAATAGTTTGAAGCCCACTGGTCTATCTCTGCCACATCTACCTGTTGGCTTGAAAAGGAAGCATACTGTATGTTTTTGTTTCTTATGTATATTTGACATTCATATACAATTTAAAACATTAATGGAACTTCTTAATTTGCACTAGTGTCAGGGAAAACCAATTTCAGAGTACTCAGTTTCCCTCCTCCTGGTTGTGTATTCCCTGTACCTGCATCCAACTTAATGTCTTTCCTAGTGCTTTCTGCTTATCCAAGGAATAAGGCTGTGTTTTGGGCATGTAAGGGAGGAATTCCAGTGGAGTGAAATCAAGTGAGGTGTGTGTAGACAAGAAAATAAAAATAAAATGTTTGAGTATAATTCTCAGCAGCAAA